CTGCAAAATCCCCATTCCCTCCCAATCAGCTGGGTCTCGGGAGGCAGAGAATAAATGGGGGCGGGACCAGTCAGAGGTGGTATTCAGCAGGTTCTGACCAGTTCTGGAGAACCGGAAGCGGAAATTTTGAGTAGTTTGGAGAACCGGTAAATACCACCTCTGACTGGTCCCGCTCCCATTTATTCTCTGCCTCCCGAGTCCCAGCTGATTGGGAGGGAATGTGGATTTTGCAGTATCCTTCCCCTGCCACACCCACCAAGCCATCCCTACCAAGCCATGCCCACAGAACCAGTAGTAAAAAAATTTGAATCCCACCACTGATCTCAAGGACTAATTACTTTAACATTCTGTGCTCATAGAACTAGATACCTCTTGGAATATGACTGCAATAGCATTTATGAATATAATAGCATTTTCAATAGGCTAAGAATAATTCTCTATTGGCTTGTCTTAATCTTATGCCTTCCATATATATTAGGCTACAATTATCAAAATTCCAAGCTAACATGACCAGTTTTGAAAATTGTAGGATGTCAGGTTGGGGAAGGCTGTTTTAAACTATCACATGATATCCCTAAATTCTACTTTATTCAAGAATGGAAATGGAAAACTATTAAATAGCTTCACGTGTCTTAATTGTACTAGTTCCCAAATTGGAATATAATTCAATAACATGCAATATTTTGGTAGCTATCCAAATTTGATAAATATTTTTTATGCTTGTAAATTAAAAACATAAGAATAAATTGATATTATATTATTTACCTTTAGTGAGTCTCTCCACCATGTATCTCTTCTGTAATATGGTATTCTTTCATGTTCTACTACCTAGAAAAAAAATCAGGATTGTTAAAGAACAACTTTAAGTGTAAGTAAACATATTAATATATTTTTCAGGAGGAAATTAAAATGGTTTTATATTTAGAATAGCAGTAGGTTTAGCACCTAACCAAACAGAGCTGATTACTAAAGCAAGGTGACAATCTGATCAGAACTCAAATGGAAGTCAACCAGGAAGTGAAGGCCTTTAGGGCTAGATTAAGAACTTGAAAAACAGCCTGAAGAAGAAATTGGCAAAATGCTTCCATGCTGCTGCCAAGAAAACTTTAAGGATGTCTCCAGGAAGTCACTAGGAGTCTCACTTATGAAATGTTTAGTTTTACTATACATTTAAAATGTTTCACCTTACAAGAGAAAATATAATAAGAGCTAGAATTGCAATAAGATAGATGTAGAACATTTACTGGAGAATGTTTGCTTGCTTTACTGGCCAAGACGCTGTCAACCATGCTCTCCCTCAGGGTTTTTTTAGAGGATAATTGCATCAAATCAGCAATAGTTGTCTATGACATCACAATCCACATGCTAAGGATTTGAGTATTCTTACTTGGAAGAAAATACAAGCATCTGGGAACAAAACGTAGCCTCAGATAAAGAATTGAGACAAGATTTTAAGAATGGGTTTCTGCTTTCAAGTTGAGAAATGTGTATTTGTGTAAGGACCTGCCTCAGCTATCTTCTCAGGAAAGTATGACTCTTGAAACAATTGGTATTTCAAAAGGAACTTTTACTCAGGTGGAGTCAGGCAGAGTCTGAAGATTCCTGCGTGAAGCGTTGTTAATTTCCCCTGATCAACCCCTACCCAGTGCCCCATGTCCACCAGTGGCCAATACAATGCCACAAAGGTGTTATGAGAACTCCGAGGCGGGATGGTGATAGTAGATCGGTGATGACGAACCTTTTTCTTATGGTGTGCCAAAATTGTGTGTGTGTGTGGTATCACGCACCCGCATGTGCCCACATCAATTGAATCCTCCCCGCCCACCTGCGCATGCACACGCAAACCCCCATGCATGCGCGCAGGACCCCTCCCCAGGCTTCGGATGCTTTCCTGATGCCTGGGGAGGGTGAAAACAGCCTCCCCCCAAACCCAGAAGCTGGAAACGGATCGTTTTCGAACTTCCAGTTGGCCCATTGGGGCTGATTTGTGCCCTTCCCAGCCTCTGGAGGCTTTCCTGAAGTCTGTGGAGGTAAAAAATGGCCTCCCCGCAACCCTCCGGAAGGGCGAAAAATCAGCTGGCCAGCACACGAGAACTGATGGCTGGCGTGCCAGCAAATATGGCTCTGGGTGGCATGCGTGCCATAAGTTCGCCATCACGGTAGTAGGTCATTTTTGGGACACCATGACCTTGGGTAACAGGCTAGAAGCAGCTGGGAATCCATCCTGATGGCTCAGCTCCGCTCCCTAATTCCCATGTGGTTACAGCAAAAGAGAAAGCATTCAAAGTATTCAGCCCCAAGAAGCATCCCCCCCACTTCGGAAATTCAGCGTTCAGGCAGGGACCTGA